GGTTCAGCATTCCTAGTATGACAACATTGCAAGGGCATAATCCAGATAAAACTATGACACTTGAAAAGGCAAACAAACATAAAGAATAAGAAATTAACAAAAGGAATTGAATTAAATAACTGATTAAGGAAAAACCCACAAGGCATAAGAGAAGATATAGACCTCAAAATGCCCATCTGGTAAACCATCTGTGCTTCGTACAACTTCCCCTTTGATTCAAGAAAAGCGGCATACCACACGTAAAGCGAAGAATGGCGAACACAGATCTTGCTCTCCAGCATTTCGTTGAAAATGCTACCAAAATCTTCACAGAGTCCAATCTGGAAAAAAAAAAATGTATGAATTAACTTTTAAGACCCTATTAAAACCAACCTAAGACCCACCCTAAAAACAAAACCTAAATTCCCACACTTTAGCATCTGCATAGATTGTAATCAGCCAAATGTACAAATTTGCAAAACTGCTAAATAGATTTCAAACAACCAAATTGTATCTGTTAACTAAACAAAATGTTTAAACCAAGAAAAAGGAGTCGATATCCATTGAACTACCATATGTATGAATTTACTAATCAAATTGGGCCAAATACGAGACAGCGCTAAAAGGGCTAATTCATGGAATAATTCGAAACTTCCAATATCCAAAATTGAAAGCAATTCGAACCACAAAAGAAATAATGTTGAGCGTAATGCAAGTTACATGGAGGAGCCAGATCTTAAGGAATCTGGGGTCGTCTCGGTACTGGGCATTGTCCTTGAACATTTTAATGCAATCCGAGAGAAGCTTGGAGAGATTCGACTCCGAATCGTTTCCCGAGTTCAAATTTCCTAGGGCTTGGTTTACCGACCTGGATTTTCACACGATAAACTTCAAGAACATCAACCGAAATTCGAGAGAGACAGAGAGAGGGATTTACCTTAGCCAGGGCAAGAGAGGGTCGTGCAGAGAGTTCGGGGCTTGGGATTCTAAGTCGAGGACGGCCATGGAATTCTCAAAGAGAGAAATGAAGAAGGTATTTTCAGGTAACAGAAGTGAAAACCGAAAGAGAGAGAGGGAGAGAGGGAGAGAGAGAGAGAGAGAGAGAGAGAGAAAGAGAGAGAGAGAGAGGGGGAAAGAAAGGCGGGAAAGTGGCTGTTCTTTTAAATCAAATCAAATAGTATTTGAACCTTTTTTTTAGAATAAGAAAGATTTTACGTAGAGATGCAAGAGAATTTGGGACCTTCATAATTGGTCCGATGCAAGAACGGGCTGGGCCCGGCTCATTCTCTTTAGGCTCACGCAGGTCACAGGCCGGGCCAGCTCAATCCACAAATTTTGTGGGCCGGGTTAGGCTGGCCCGTATAAAAATGACTTCAGCCCAATCTACACCACGAGCTAATTTTACGTGGGTCAGGCTGGGCCGTGCCAAAGGCCTTGAATGGGCTGGCCCACTCAAAACTCATATTGGCCCATTATGGGTTTAGATGGACTAACCTATCTAAGAACGTAATTGTAAATTTTTTTTATTTTTATTTTTAAATTTTTAAATAAGTTAACAAATATATAAGTTTGAATAGTCAATAGAAATATGAAAAGGGATATTTTATTTACGATTACCTCATTAAATAAAAATTTTTTTAAAGAAAACCCACTAGGACAAAACCTTAGTAAGGAAAAAAGAGTACAATCAAGATAATTATACATAAGATGTTTACAAAATTACTAAAAAAATGAAAAAAAAAAAAAAAAAAAACATGAAGATATTATAGGCATAGATGGGCTGGGCTGGGCCGGCCCATTATGGTCCTAAACGGGCTAGGTTGGGTCAGCCCATCATGGGCCTAGACAGGCCGACCCGGCCCAGCCTAAGCCCGGCATGACCCATGATTTTGTATGGGCCGGGCCATAAGCCGATATATGTTAGCCCAGTCTAGCCCACCAATATTTATGGGCTGGCTCGTACCTTGAACAGTGATGAGCCGTGTCGGCCCAGCCCATCACTGTGTCAGGATGGGCCTGGGCCAGCCCACGGGCCCCAGCCCATTGTTGCATCTCTAGGTCCAAGCTCAAACTCAAAGTGAGCATTCTTTTTTTTTCTCAAAGGTATTCTTTTTCTTTTTACTAACATCACAATCACAATATTTGAACTATAAAAATAGTAGATTATTAGATTCGTGATAATAGGATTCGTCAAATGCTTTCTCATATATTGAAATGAAATTAAAATCATAACTTCCTACCACATTTTGAATGTTGTAATTCATCACAAAAAGTTCAACTTATGAAAATGACAATGCCAATATTGCCAAAAACACAACAAAAAGAGTCAAAATAAATTCTATGTTGCTAGGTGCAAAAAAAAAAAAAATGAACAGTTGAGTGAGAAAAATTAACCCAAAAAAAAAGGAAGAGAGATGTAGATGGTTAGTTATGATTTCGTTTAAGTTTATTATTTAAGTCATTCTAATAAATTGTGTGTTATTAAGTGGTTTTAGTTTTCTTTATTAATTGAATGACAATCATCACTGACGGAGTCAAGATTTACCAGTAGTGGGCTAATTTTTTTTTATCAAGATTATATTCACATGTATATATATAATAGTTTTTATTTATTAAATTAACTCATGACATATTGACACATAAAAACATTAATATTGTATCTAAGTATGAAAACACATTACTGTCAGTTATATGAAAAGTGGCAATATCAGTTTTTTCAATTTCAATTCTTAGAACCTTTTTGGGATGCTTGGAAACTAAATTTTCAGAATTTAAAGATGATTGACCATCTTCTCTAAATTATTTGATCTTGAATACTTTTTCTTTTAAAAAATGCATCAATTGTTAGCTTCCTAATGAAGAATAGTAATTCAAAACTGAAAATAAATTTTAAGACCTCATATAAATTACACTATATAAATCTATTAAACTATACACATATATGTCATTATGTGTAACACCCTGAAAAATTAATTGAGATTAATTAAGGTAATTGAGATTATTAGTGTGTCTAATCTGATTTAATTAATTGAGTTTTGATTAATAAATATTTCTGAAATGAGAGTTTAAATAATTCCAAGGTATTTAAATTATTCTCAGTAATTTATTTTAATCCAGAAGTGTGTATGGGCGCATTTCTGAACTGTTGTTTTAAAATACTGACACTTGTCCTTATTTTCTTTTTCTTTTTCTTTTCTTTCCTTCCTTTCTCTTTCCTTTCCCGTGCACACTCTCACTGCCGTGCTCTCTCCCTTTCTCTCTCACTCTCATTTTTGTCCCAAATCAAACGGATCTTGAACCAAGGAATGATTTAAAGAAATTTTCAACGTCAAGAGAAGGATTTGATGTAACATTACTGAAAGAACCTCTCTTGAATTTCAACTTTTTGAATTTCAAAACTTATTTTTGGTTCAAACCGGATTTTGATGATTTTTGAGTAAAACTAGAGTAGAAATTGGAGATCTTGGGTTCTTTGGACTTGTTTTAGGACATAGAACCCAGATCTAGTGGTTTCCCTTTGAAATATCTCAATTTGGGACTGGATTTGCAGGTTTTGGACTGATTTCTGTGAGCTTTTCTCCCGCAGCTGATTCCACCGGTCGACCTGTGCGGTCGACCGGATCACATGGTAATCGGTCGGCATGTGCGGTCGACCGGATTATATTGGCCTGACCGGTCGACCTGTCTGGTAGACCGGAGTGCACACCACCGGTCGACTGGTGGTAATGCATTGCTATGTCACCGGTCGATCGGTTGACACGGGGTTTGACCCTGTTTGGCCTGAAATTACTGTTTTGACCCCTGTTTTCAGGGAGAACCCAAATTAGCTTCATTTGGGGGACTTGAGATAAATGGATTAGCATTGTTAATCCTTGATTTGAGATTGAAAACCCTTGGAATGATAATTTAAAACATGAAAATGGATTAGGGCACACTAAAAGAAAATCTTGGTTGGAAATTGAGATTTGGATTGCTTTAGGAATGAGAATTAATCCTAAAGTGTTGTCTTGCATCAGTGATCGCTGAGGATTCAGACTGAAGGGGCTTGAGGAAACGTGTAACACCCTGAAGAATTAATTGAGATTAATTAAGGTAATTGAGATTATTAGTGTGCCTAATCTGATTTAATTAATTGAGTTTAAATAATTCCAAGGTATTTAAATTATTCACAGTAATTTATTTAATCCAGAAGTGTGTATGGGCGCATTTCTGGACTGTTATATTTTACACATGTCACTTTCTTCTATTTTTCTTTTCTTTTCTTTTTCTTTTTCCTTTCTTTTCCTTCCTTTTCTTTTTCTTTCCCGTGCGTTTCTCTCTC